GCGCTCGGGCGGCGGGGGGCGGCGCGGGACCAGGTCCTTGCGGCCGCTGGAGTCCCAGCGCCGGCGCGGGCTGCCGGGAGCCGTGGGAGCGCTGAGTCGAGCCACTTCTTGAGGGCCCTGGCAGTACTGCCCGCCACACTAGTTTTCTCCAACCACCTTCACTTAAAGAAGAAGAAAAAAATATCACGCTTCTATCTGGGGTTAGTTTGAGCCAAGATCAGGCCTTAAATCTATGCATAAGAAAGGCGAGTCAGAGTCGAGATGCGGCGGAAGCCAGGGCACCCACTCAGGGGAGGGTGGAAAGCGCTTTATCAGATCTCCTGGCCCGCTGCGGGCGATAGCGCTGGTAACCCGAGTAGAGTAAATAGAGACACGTGGGTGCTGGCTAGAGAGCCGCGAATCGGACCGCGCGGAACGGCTATTTCAGGCCGCGAGGAGAGCTTCAAAAGATGGGGGGTTGGGGGAGCGGATGGACCCTGATACTCGACACTCCACTGGCCACACTTGTTCACAACTGGGCAATGCTTTGGAGGAAATCCGGTAGAAAAGACCTGACATTCAGATGATTTCACCAACGCTTTTTCCCTCCAAAGAAATTTGGAGGGTATACCCTTTTTCCTTAAATGGCATCCTTCTGCCCCCAAAAAGAAAGCTTGTGGTTTTGAGGGCGGGGACATTTTGGGTTTTAAACAGCAAGTTTAAGAACACATCAGAGTTACCTTCTTTATCCCAATGGCAGGGGTGAGTACGCATTTTGGAAGGCCGGGGACCTGGGTTCTAAGGAGAACATGGGGGTGTTCTCTATCCCCTGAATCTTTCATCCCAGCATGCCAATTCAGGGACAGCTAGGTTGCAGCCAGCCCTACTTGAAAGGTGTGTTGTAGGAGGAGGTCACTGGGAGGACGTATGTCCAAGGAACCAAATAACATCCCGAACACTCGAGGCCAAACTCAGATTTGTAGAGCAGCCTTTTTTTGTTTTGTTTTGTTTCTAGTCATTTTGCTTGTCCTTTCTTTTTCTATAAATAAATTTGCCAGCCACTTACCATTTTCTGCATGCTTCTGCCCTGCGGAGAAGGGCCCTGCGTTTGAAGCCCAGAACCCAGGTATAAGGGCTGTGTTAATCTTTGCCGGTGGTAAGTGGGCATGGGGCAGACCCAAGGAAGATGGTGAAGGGGTAATACCACTGATTTGCACGTGGTTAAGTCTGGGTGGAAGGTGGTTACCAGAACTGATATTAGCTGGGCTACCTTTTAGGTGTCTATGACCCAACTCTCAAATTTTCCTCCCTTTGACCACAGAATAGTTCACTTTTCTCTTGTAAGCTTGTAGTCAGCTAACCATGGTAGATCAGGAGGAGTGGAGCTCCTGCTTGAACTGGTTTGGGACAGTTGCTTAAGACCCTCATTTGTCAGTAGTGGGCTTGTTTTTATTTAAAATGTCATTTTCAGTTGCAAAATCGTACTTCACTTGTTTAATGAGTTCTGATGGAAGTGAACAGTGGTTGAAGAAGCTATCAGAACCATCAGCCCCATTAACTCAGATTCTTATCACATTGGGCATCCAAGTAGCCTTGATGTGTTTTAGCGAACAGCATACGGACCGTCCCCAAATTTGTTTTTATTATTATTTATACTTTCTAATCCTGGGTAGATAATTCTCAGAAACACATGTTGAAAAGGAAAAGATTTCCCAGTACTCAACCCTAGCCTATTCTCTAAGATTAAAAAACAGGTAGGTTGAGTTGCACCTAATCTTCCTCCTTTGAGTGTGGAATCACACTTACTTTGGTATTGTCACAAATTCTAAGGTGATTTTCTTTCTTTTGGGGGTGGGGATTTGTGCTGTTAGGTGGCCAGACAAGCACAAACTTCTCAGGAGTCCTACCATGACAAGGCCAGAGAACACCCTGATGAAGGTAAGACACTAACTCCACTTCTCCCAGTTTTGTTTAATATGTGCAATTTGTGAATATAGGGATGTTTTTTATTTTCGTCCAAGAAACCCAGATTAGATGTAATACGACATTTGTTAAAATGGAAAAAAAAAACAGGAAATTTGTTGTTTCTCCATAATGTGTGTTTACAGTGTAAAAACTTTGAATTTAAATGAGTTGGGGCCTTTGGATTTCAGTTGGCTTCCAGATTCTTTGCAGAAGAGAAATGTCTATAATGAGTTTTCCTCATTTTACCTGAAGTTCTAATTATAAATAGATCTTTAGTATTTTTTTCCTGAATTGTTACAAAGTAACAGTCTACATCAATTTATTTTCCAACAAGAATAGTTTCAAAAGGATTTTCACTTGTAAAATTACTGTTTCTTGTTATAGTGTATGTGCATACTAAATATGGCTCAGTAAAGAAGAATCTAACCTTTAAAAATATAAAACTTAATTCTTAAAGTTAGGAATGATGCATATAGAACATGATAGTCAGACTTTCTCCCCATTTCTTATTCTTGCTCAAAACATTAAAAATTATGTAATACTTTAAGATTTAAAGAGAACTCCCTGTGACTTTAAAAGAATGTATAATCTGTAGGGTTCCTTTGTTGAACAGTGTCCATTTCTGTTCTCCTTTAATTACTCACAATTGGCCTGACCAGAATGAAGTGTTCACATGTACAATATGTCAGCCAGGGGAAGAAGGGAAGAGACTATAATATCAGGCTTCCTTCTGAGCTACAAAGTAGTTACACAGATTGAAGAGAAGACATGTATACACTGAATACATACAAATTTCTTTGGCAGAGTGATGTAAGTGTAGCACATAAAATTAAGTCTCCTGGAGTTAATCCTTCATGAATTTGGATAGTTGCCTGTACACTAGATGCAACTCTCTCACTCAGTAAAATGTAGGCATTTTCTAGAAACTTAGAAGCACAGGTAGAATTTTTGAGTCTGCCTGTAAGCTGGAGCATAACTTTAAGTTGAGTAAATGTATACGCGTGTGTAGAGCTGAATGGCCTAATGTATTTATATTACAGCTTTACATTTGTGTGTCTTCTTTCATCTGTCTGTATTTCTTAGTCCAGTTTGTTAGTATTAGAACAAATTAAGTTAGATGGATAACACTTATTTTTGTAAAAACACCAGTCAGTAGTGGAAGTAAATTGAACCACATGTTTTTAAAACATCTGGTTCACTGCTAAGCCGTTTAAGAGAATAAATACTGTCAATCTAAAATAGAGCATAATAATCCAGTTACAATATTTTGTAAACAAATCTTTTATGTAAGGTCTGATTTGTCGTAGAACCATTAACTTTTCAAATGAAAAATACAGTGATATAAAAAGGAAGTCAATGTGTCATTGATTGTTCTTTGCATTCTCTCAGGAAAGCATCCAGATGGAGGCCTCTACAACAAGGGACCCTCTTACTCGAGTTATTCAGGGTACATAATGATGCCAAATATGAATAATGACCCATACATGTCAAATGGATCTCTTTCTCCACCCATCCCGAGAACAGTGAGTAACATGCTGATGTTGCAAATTATTTTCAGAAGTGCAAATTAACTTATATTTTGGCAAAAATGTTTGTTTTTTTAAACACACTGGAAATGCTTTCATTATATATGTCCAGTCATTGCTAAATAAGACCTGCTATGTGGAATGGTTGCCTTAAAATTATGCTACGTTTGATGTTTTGCACTTGGAATTTTAGCTTTTGGCTTATTAGTTAAGATTAATGAAAAACAGATCATGAGCTGTGATGAAATCAAATGGATTTAAATCAGCAAATTCATGATTTTACGAGTATTTGCTTTCTACTCTATTGAAAGAGATTGATTTAATCTTTCAATTAACTAAGTGCTGTATGGCTCTCACTGCCCATGAGCTGTCTAGAATCAACTCCTTTGGCTCGTTTGGAGCTGAACGTTCAGAATGTTACTTCAGCTTTCTGAAGTGTCTCATTTGATTGTATTAGCTAATGTTTCTTTAAAATCGGTTTGGGGTGGGGTAGGGGAATGAGCTGTTTTTACTTTATTGCGAATTGTTAAGAAAGTATCATCTGAAGATTACTCTAATGAAAACTGTTCTTTTTTTTAATCTCGGAGTTCAGTTAACTTTTAAGTTCTAAAAATGCAGTGGCATTGTAACTGCGTTCTGCATTATGCAAATGATAACACTATGAAGAATTTTAGATGTTATTTGATAATATTTTCTCTTTTGCTGAGAAGTGGAAACCTCACTTAGGCAGGAAGAAAACATGTAAAGGGTAACTTGTGTACAACATGTGAAGTGTGCTGGTGGTGGAGTTCTCCCCGAGAATCAGCTCTTTGAAGGTGGTAATGGAGTTCTACTGATCCGTCAATATATTTACCTTTCTGGCCTCGGTCTCCCACCACCACACAAACCCCAATGAAAAACTCATACGTTTGGGCCTTGGAGGTGAGGATTTCCGTCTCACTGGCCCTCCTGGGAGTTGAATCTAGGATTATAGGATGGAATTTGTAGTCTTTGCCATATTTGCCCAGGGCTTCTACCAAATGATAAAAATCAGTCACAGATGTTTGGGCACGTACTGTTGTTAATACCTCAGTGAACAGAATGTGGGAGCAAGATGCTCCAAGTAGCAGAGAGGAGTAGCTCCCAGTCAGTCATCAGCAAACAGTATCTGTGGTTATCTTGATTATCTGTGGTTCTCAACTGTTGAAGTGATAGGTCTGTGAAGTAAAACCACTTTAAGTGGGCACTCTGATTTAGAAGTTATCGTAATTTTTTCCCACAAATTTTGGAAAAATGTTTGACCTTTCAGGTAAGGGATAAGATTTTTCTAATTTTCACATAACAGCTAACGTGGAGATCTTGGAAGTCTTGTGATGGTTGTTATAGGAAGTAGCGATTTCACATTTTATTTTAAAAGGCTTTTCAAATATTTAATGATAGAAATGTCTGTGTGGTATGTATGAATCTCTTACCTAAAAAGTGGATGAACTAGTAAGAGCAAATATAGTTTAATATTTAGAGACCACCCAAATAAATGCTTCTGAGTTTTCAAATGTGTAGGAGACTTTATATCTGTTGAATTAAACATGCGTATATATCAGATATTTCTTTTAAGTTGGGCTGGTTTTGTTTTGCTGGTGTTTTGGAGTAGATACGTCTTAGACAAGGAATAATTGAAGATTTCTGCTGAAGGCCTTTTAGAGTAACAAAGAATCTTTACAACAAATCAAATTATAATCTCTGACTTTGTAACAACAGAAAATAGCTGCTAAGATAATCTTAACACTTTTTGGCAGTGTATACAGTTAATGCTTAGTAAGTAATTGTGGAATTTATTCTTTAGTTCAGCTGCTTCTCCTTTCAAAACAATTTTTAAAAAGTCAATATAATAAAAATCGATTGATATTTGTAAATTATCTCCAAGAACATTGAAAGTTAAGCTTCTCCCTCTTTCAACCAGCATTTTCTGCCTTAGGTCTCTCTAGCCTTTTCTCCCACCCCCCATTTAAAATTACTAGAATGGGAAGTATTTATTGTTAGTGTACGTATTAAAATTTTCAGGTCAGTTAGTTGAACAGTCATTGATTGTTTAGGAAAGATCTGTGGCCAGAATAAATGTTGGTGGGTGCAGAGTGGAGGAAAGGGGTGTGGTGAGGAAACAGTTACCTTACCCTGTTATCTACTGCTTTGCTTTAGTCTGTTACACTTTAGAACACACTTATTTTAGGCACATTTTCTTGGCAATATTCTGCAGTTTGCACAGTTCCAGAAGCTTTTCAGTTTTAACCACAAGACTACCTTCAATTTTTTCTTTTAGGGTCCGACCGAAGTGAGTCGCAATCTTTGGTTTTTAATACCTAACAGCTGTTTTTAATGCGTCTAAGACCCAAAACACTTTAACCGGAAGGCAGCCTCTCCTCTTCACCCCTAACCACACTTCTGCCTCTTGCTCTAATTTAGCTCTGTCCTTAGCGGGACTGAGTGTTTGTGTAACTGACATCCACAGTGATAGGTTGCATCTAGGGTGTCAGGAGGAGGGTGACCATTTGTGTTTTGGCCTAGGGTGGGAGCAGGAACAGTCCCCCGGCACCCCTGTTACTTGGATTTGCATTACAAACAACTGCTTGTTTACTGCATCTGCTGCCCTCAGGTGTTAGAATTGAAAAAACATCTGAGGGTGGGGGAGGGCCCTGCCTGCCCCTTCCCCACACAAAATCTTCTGTTTAGATGCAAGTGCAGGTAATCCAGAGAATACCAGCTGTGGCCAGCTGGCACACACAGAAATGTTTCTGCTGGTAGCTCGTTGTAACAATTCCATATGCTTTTGCTCTTTTTTAGACAAACACTGACATACGTCTGCACGCACAGCTTTTACCTATGACCTGAATAGAGTATTGCCTATACAGGAGAACTGCCTTCGCCAATCAGGCTTTTTTTCTTTTGAAGGGAAATTTTAATTGGCCAATTACATACTTACAGAAATTCTTAGAGGTGTATCTATACCATAAATCTTATAAATGAATGTGTCAGAGAATTTAAAACAAGAATTCTTAGTTCAGATGAATTGGGCCTAAGGAGAAAGCACCTTTATATAATAATAGCACATTTGGTGTCAGTGTGAATTCTTAAAGTACAGTAAACCGTGGCTTGAATTCTCGTCTTCTTCAAGAGTGAGAAGATGCAGAAGCCTGTTAAATATTTCAGAGCAGGGGCCCTGGAGAGTTTATTAAAAGCATACTCCCAAGACTTTCTTTCTCTGTGTCTTATTTATGAAAATTCTTGGCGGCCAACGGTTAAGTATTTAAAAAAAAAGTAGTTTGTTGCGTCCTGCGCTGGGTGCTGGCACTTGTGTGCTGAATACCGTGTGACAGTGAGCTTGGCTGGCTTTACATAGTGAAAGTTCCCATTGGCCTCATGCACTGTGGTTATTCATCTTAGGTGTCAAACTTCCATTTGTCCCTCACACAACCCAAATGTTTAACACCTCCAAAGTGAAAGATCTCGTTTCTCTTCGGCTGCTCGGGGAGGGAGAAGCAGCAGACTTAGCGCAGGAAGCAACAGCAGACATTGCAGCTCGGGTCCCCCCAACCGCAGTAACACCTGGTCAGAATAGTGCTGCTGCTGGCTGCGTTGTTTGTTTCTGTCATCCTTCTGAGGATGGATTTTTAGGTGGGAAAGGACAGTTGTTTGTGTTCACATTCCATCTTCCTTTCTTATTTTTAGTAGACATTGGTATTAAAATGTTTCAAGGGTATTTTTCTTCATTATTTTGAGCAACTCAGTATGATTTTACCTTAAGGGAATCAACATTTGGATTTCTGAGGAACAGAATTATGCCTAGTGTAACTTTATCTTAAGCTCCACCCACCCCACCCATGTTTATATTTGCTGACAAACAGATAAAATTTGATTTTTGTCACTGCTCACATCTGGAATTAAGGAACGAATTGGACGTGTCTAATCAGTAAGCTTACCCTTATCCAGCTGTCCATCACACTGCTGCATAGCTTTGAAAATAATCACAGGAACAATAATTAATCCAAAGATAGAAGGAGACTATGGCTTATTAATTCATTCAAGGGTACAGGGAGACTATGGCTTATATTTTAAGTAAAATTTTTAAGGTGGAGTGTCTTTTCACTTTACTGCAAGGAGCTACTTCTTTTGACTTACTGATAAATTATTTTAAATTTTCTAATCTAAGTTGTATACTTTTTGAAGCTAAGTATATTAAATTTTCCTCTTTGCCTCAAGTGCAGGAGAAGTTAAGTTTTAGAAGAATATTCTATCTCAGATTGAATGTGGATGTCAGGAGAATGTGTGGGAAAATTCCTCAGAGCCCCAGACTCTTCTGTTTGATTCATCTAATTTGTACTGCTACAAAGTTGGGAAAGGACCACAGTCAGAATAACTGGGACCAATGACATCCCCTCTTCAGATACCTTAGATATCTTATGACCAAACAGCATCCTAATTCAAGTGTCCCAAGTGCCATGCTACACGTGACCCTTTAGGAGCTAACATTGCACTTGCATGACTTGTACGGCAGAATTGTGATCTTTATTCAGATAGGTTTTTTTCGAAATGACCCTAGACATTTCTTGTTCATTCATAAAGACAGAACAACCCAGTTTCACAAAAACAAAGGCAGTTGAGCCAACCTGCAGAAAATCTTGCTCTTTGAAGTCCCCCTCCCCCTCCCCCATATAGGTCCTGAATTTGCTCTCATCAACCCCATTATTTTGATCCATTTCGGTCTTGCAAAGACTTGTGTAATTTTAACTGGACAGAGTAAGGACCTCACAATTGGATCTGTCTGGACTTGAACTTATCTCACAACCATTCTTCAATAGTATCAACTGAGAAAATTTTGCAACTTTTGAGTCTTGTTTTAAATAATCCTGTTAGTTCCTTGGACGGAAATGTTTTTGGTTTATGCGACTGACATGTTTTTAAGCAATCGGCTTGTTCCATTCCTCTCTGACTCCTTTACTTCCTCATTTGTGTATCATAGACGT